ACAGGGGAATTCAGCTAAAAARGGAGCCTGACTGTCACATGAAAGAGTCAGGAGAAAAAAGGGTGTTGTTACAAATGTTGGCCTGCCAGATCTTGAGACTCCCAATGCACCGTGAGCTTTCTGGCCACCAGCAGGGATCAGAGTCACAGTGGCAGTGTGCTGCCCTGCTGCCAGGCATGATGTCCATCACAATCCCTGGGATAAAAGGCAYGACATCCCCAGATTGTGAGCCGCTGCTTGCAAAAGCACTGTGCCTTTGCTGCATCAAAAAGAAAAAAAAAACAAACTAATTTTAGCTAAAGATTTTGTTTTTCCATGTCTTTTGACTGCTGTGTCTCAGTGCAAGAAACCAGAGGTGAGCATCATATTATGATCTTGTTAGATTTCAGAGACACGAGAATTGATTTAKTTAGATAATTCAGTTATTAAAAATACAGAAAATCCTGGGCATACGTGGAGCCTTTAAAAAAAAAAGTTTCAGCAGGAGTTCTCTTCTTTGTTTGAGCCTGCAGCAGGATTTGCCAGCCTTTTTCGACATGCAAACCCCTAAACTTTGTGTTCATGGAGACACAAGCTCTAATTAGTGCATGTAAGCCCATTGGCTCTGAGTTTGCCTTTGAGAGTTACTTTTCATGTTCTTCAAGGAAATCCACAGTTTCCCAAATTCCTTGTGCTASAAGCTGAAACTGCCAGCCTGAGAATGCCCCATGTTACAAGCAGGGACACAGGTCCATGCTGCCTGCCTGGGGCAGGGGAGATCTTAGCAAACTCCTACAGCCTTCGCAGCTGCTTTCATGTGGTTCTGCAAGTCTAAAATCCAGTGGTGCACTGCCAGTGCCCTTTGCTCACTCCTTGCTTTGAATCAGCCCTTGATGCACTGTGGAGGTGCCCCAGATGCCCTCAGTGCTGTGCAGGTTTCCCTRTGCTGAGCAGGGCTGTCACAGAGGTAGTCAGGGTGGGAAGCCTCCCATTCCACCTCCCAGCACCCCTGAAAATGATACTCTGGGCCACAGGAGTGGAGCAGTACAGCCCCAGCAGTGSTGCCAGGCATGATGTTCCACTGACAGGGGCACAGGAACAGGCTCTGTTCACCCCTGCAGCCCTACCAGCAGTTTTCCATGTCACTAAGTTGCCTGCACTTGTCGGCCCCTGCGTTTGACCACGGATTTGGCAGGATTTGAAACAGCAAAAGATCCTGCAGAAAGTAGGAAGAGTTCTGTCCTTGTCTGCAGCTCAGGGACACAGGCAGGGATGCGAGGGATCCCTGTGTGCAGCCCCCCAGCCTGGAGAGCCAGATGCTCTCCTCAGCCCCCCTGGGACACCGGGCTGCCAGCAAGGTCTGGCTCGGCAGCATCTCCAAGCTGCACGGGCAGCAGCTCAAGGGGCCACTGCTGCCAGAGCTCCACAGGGCCACGTGGCAGCAGGTGGAGACCGCTGAGACCAGCCTGTCACTGGGGCTGCACAGCCACGGGGCTGGGACAGCTGTGGGAGCCCAGTGTCCTCTCAGCCGGGATCCCTCTGCTTACTGCCCTCCTGGCTTTGCCGTCTGGAGGAGGAAGGACCGAACTCTTTTCCTCCTGCCTCTACCCAGCAGCACAGGGCAGAGGGTGGGTGCTGCCTCTCCTCGCCTGAACAACACTGTTTTGGGAAGGAGAGCGTGGCAGTGCAGGTGGGGTGCTGGGAGGGACTCGCCTGCGCCCTCGCATTAGCTTGAGCTGAAAACTCAAGAGCTCCGTCCAAAGTACGCGCCTGGGCCGCGCCGCAGCTCTCGCGAGCACGGTGCATGGCACGGTGCATGGCACGGTGCATGTGTGCGGCCGGGTGTGCCCGTCCCTGCCGGACACCGCGCTGCCTGGCACCTGGCACTAACAGGAGTCGTGCCTGGAAAAGGAGACACCCCCCACCCGGTGCCCCAACAGTGCCCTTAGCAGGGGAGCGGCAGCGAAGCTCGTCCTGTCCGAGCGCTGTCCCCATCCCCCCGTACTCACGGGGCTCGTGGATGCCCGGGTAGTCGCTGAACTCCAGCACGTAGAGGTGCCGGCCCTCGACGCTGCGGCCGATGCTGTAGATGCGGGTGACGTAGGGACACTGGCTCTGCACGCGGAACAGGGCCTGCACCAGCTCCTCGTAGCGATGGTGGAGGAAGCTGAGGGCGGCCGCCCCCTCGAGCAGGAGCAGCGCTCCCACCAGGGGCCGCAGCCACCGCGCCATCCTCCCGCGGCGCTGGGCGCCCGGACCAGCTCCCAGCCCCGGCTCCCTCCCAGCCGGGAGCTTAAAGTGCAAACTCCAACCAGCTCTTTCCAGCTGCCGAGTGCCAGCCCCCTGCACCTGCGGGCGGGGGGCGCCGGGGGGCGGCGGGAGCGGGGCGCGCCGGGGCCCCGCAGCGCAGGAATGCTCCCCCCGCCCGGCCGCCGGCGAGCCCGCTCTGCACCGGCCGAGAGGTTTCCCCCCGCTCCAGCTCACTTATTAACCGGACGGCAAACAGGCCCCCGCAGCCACTGGCTGTCACCGCAGAAGAAGCGCAGGGCTGGAAAACTGGCTGCGGAGGGCGTCGGGGCTGCCAAGCGCACGGGGAGAGGCGGGCGGGGGAGAGGAGAAGAGAGGGGCCCGGCGGGCGGGGGGATGCCCGTCACCGAGCCCTCTCGTGGGGCAAGAGCCMAGGGCGATGGGGGTGGTGCCGGGGCGGCCTCGCTGTCCGCACGAGTCCCGCAGCCCTGCCCGGMCCCTGCCAGCCCGGCGCGGGCAGCTCCCACCGCTCCTCCCCGCGCTCGGTCTCGGCTCCGCGCCGCGCCTTCTCTACTGCCCCATCTCCTGGGGAAGCAGAGGAGACACCGCCGCGGGCTCCGCGGGTCTCTCGGCGATCCCGTTGCTCCTGGGATAAACAGAGGCAGGCACCGYGCCGCCCTCCCCACAGCCCCCTGTCCTGCCGAGCGGGGACGGTGCAGGGGGAGCACAGAGCAGCGTGAAATGTGATGCAGGAGTTGTCTGCTGAGCACATACCATCACGGAGAGCTCCGCTCGGAAGTCTGGTATCACCCTACCCTGCTCTGGGAGCGGGCATGAGCAAGAGCTCCAACAGGCGCTGTGCAGCAAGAGATTGCTTAATTGAGTAAAGACAAATGAAATGATCCTGCTGTCTGCTAACAAAGGGTTGCAAACTGTTTCTGGATATAGGGGAAGCTAGTTCCTCTCGGCCCCTCTGCCACCCTTATCCCAGTGGGCAGCAGACACCTCAGGGTCCCTGTGCTCTGCCCGCAGATGCCACATCTGCTGGAGGCAGCCTTGCTTTGCAGCCTTGCCCCACGAGGCTAAAACTCCAGCAGCCTAGTGGCTCTAACAGGTATTTACTAGGACAGCCCTGACACAGAGCCCAAACATGAGCACAAACAGCTAAAAAATTTACCATCATGGCTGGACAGACCCAGAGAAAGGCTCGCTCTGGTAACATGGGCATGCTATTCTGCTCTGCCCAGGCCATGCTAGAAAGGAACTCCTCTGGCCATCAGCAGTGGGCTGCCCAGGATACTCAGTGCCATGCCAAGCATCTTTTTTCCCTTCAGCCTTAAGGTGGATCTGTGCAGCATTGCTCTAATTTCTGTGTCAAGGGTTGCTTCACCCTGCAAAACATTCTCTATCAGTGCTGCCTGGCACCAGTGCATTCCTATGTGTTCTCCATATGTGCTGACRGTCTTTCCACCTCAGTTTTCCAGGAAGAGCAGTGGTAAAACCAGGGAGTCCCTGTTTACARCCTCTGATGCAAACAGTACAGGCTGGTAGGCAAGGCACTTGGCTTGCCTGCTCATRGCTTGGCTCACTCAGACTTTTCCATATCCAACTTTCTTCTGCCCCAGCCCCACCATATTGATCCTTTCTCTCCTTGTCCCTTGGCCTCCTTGGTCTTCTGTGCCATCTGCACAGTTCCCTCTTCCCCCTGTTTTTGAAAAAAATATCCTTTTGAAGACATGACCAGAAAAAGAAAAATATACAAATATAAAGATAGCAGTAACCATATTAATACCTTTCAGTTAAGCTTTATCCCACCACATCCACGTTTGTCAGCAAGTCTGAAAGCAACACATGTTCAGGAGCAGGAATGACACTGCACCCATCTGTAGCCAGGTAACAAGAAGGTGATAACCTCTCCCAGCACATGCAAGAWGCCAAGGCAAAGTAGCTAAAGCTGTGGCATGGTGAGCATGGGTATGGTAGGACAGCTCTTGTCTCTAGAGCAAGACATATCTGACGGCATTTCACAAAGCTGTCATCCCACACAGCAGCGGGAAATACCTTCACCTCCTTCACATCTCAGCTCCCAGGGCTGCTGGGTTCCCGTGGAGCTGCTCTCTCCCCAGCCTTCAGCAATGAAGGCCATGTAAAAGAGTTGTGGGCAGGTTTCCAGCACTATCCAGTGTTACTTGGCAGCCAGAGAGTGCTAGGCAGGGCTGTAGTAAAATAGCACAAGCCCCATGTTTGGCCAGTTCCCCCCCTCCCCTTTCCCTTCCTAGRCTGCTTTCAGTAGCCTGGGACAGCAGTGGCAGAGTTAGAACTGCAGTGCCAAGGGACACATGAGGAAAGCTCTCCTATGGAGACAAGCAATGCTGATGTAAGAAACAACAGTAAAAAAAGAAATGCCAGACCATTAGAGCCTAAAAAGGAGTCTTGGGTAAAATCTCCTGTGGGTGGAGAACACGTCTCACATGCTACAAGGTCTGGAGAGTTAGTCAGCCTTATCCATACCCATAGCACAGAGACGGAGACAGCCTGTTAGCAGGCAGCAGGTTTAAAGCATAAAAAAGGAAATCGTTTTGCACAATGAAATTACCTCATCAAAGCTGAAAGTTACATGAGTACAAAAGAGGATAAGGTGAATTCACAGATAGCAGGGGCACCCACAGCTATCAGATCTTTAAGCAATCATTTTATCACAAGTTTCCTGAGCCTCTCTCTGGGTAGAAGAGAAGGTTTATGCTGTTTCCCTAAGCATCCCTCTAAATCCTCATGCACCACACAGCTGGATATGCATGCCAGTGTGCTGCCTGTTTGATCTGAACTAGCACGGCCTTTACACATTCTAGAAAAATGACAACCTAATGAATCTTTAATCCAGTAATAAATTTGGACATGTTTGAAAACACCAACGAAAGTAGAATCAAAMAATATAAAATGTTAGAAACAGTGCAGGAAATAAATAAAGGCTTAATTTGGAAAATATGGCTAATACATCTGGGATAGATCATACACTGCCCCACCCCCCACCCAGATGTTAAAAAATGGAGAAACCTTGAGGCAGTGGGATAAAGAGGGGAAGCAGAAATGCTCTGTGCCACTGTGGTGAGAGTGAGAGGAATGTGAATGCAAGCCCTGTCCCCCCATTGCTGCATTGCTGATGGTCACAGGCAGCAAAGAGCTGATCCCGCTGGAGCTGGCCATGGAAAGACTTCATCTGATGGGTTCATCTTCRTTCTGGCCATATTGTTAACAGAGGAAGATTGGAAAATTTGAGGAAAGTTCAAGCTAATAGCCATAAGAATGAGCAAACTCCGAAGAGAGCGTCCTGAAAGAAAAATAAAACCATGACAAGCATGTTTGCCTTGGCAGAGCTGYGGCTGTGGCTGCACACAGAGACATGCAGCCCTGTGAACAAGGGGCATGGGCCACTGTCCTTCACCTGTTTGGGGGGCTGGGAAGGTGGGCTGCACTGGTGCAGTGAGAGGGAAAATGGGAACTGCCCCTGTCCAGYTCACAGCAAGGGAGAGCAAACAGTTTTGGGGAAGTCAGGATRAAGCTGAGGCAAGGAAAGATGTGGTTTGGGCACTAACAGCCTTCCTGGGAGTGAGGCAACCTGTGTGAGGTGCCCAGAGCCTGGGAAGCACAACAGTGCCTTTCTCTACCAGGAGGGGATGCTACCCATCCACCAGGAACTTCAGAGCTGGCCCAGGAGAGCATCAAGGAGCTGGCAAGGGAGGAAATCACATCTCAGGACTTTTCCATGTTTAGTGCCAGAAGCTCCATTCCACTACTGGCAAACTCCCATCTTCTGGAAAACAGCATGAAAACTTAACTGGCATCAGTTCAGAAATCTTTATTATGATAAGCATACAGAGACTTGTGTGTGCATCAAAACAAAGATCCATTTCTTCAGGGCTGGGCCACAGAAGGAAAACACATGGCCCGGGTGGCAGGGACTGTTGTCCTCAGTTTGTCCTCCCCAGAGCCTCCTGAACAGGCTGTTGAGYCTGTGACAAAGCTGGCAGCCCTGCAGAGCCCACACATCCTGCCTGGCACAGAGCATGGGAAGGATYGGGGTGGAGAAGGAAGGGGCACACATCCGGCCCAGAACTGCTCTGGGAGCAACCAGAAAGCCCTGGCCAGGGCCAGCACTTCAAATCAGCCGCCACTGCAGAGGTGATGGCCCCACTTCTGAGAGCTTGCTTGCAAATGGAGGCCCCACTGCACTYTGCTGTAGGGCTGGAAAAATCAGCTGTAGCCTGTGCACAGAGGAGAGGCAGCCTTATCAGGGAGCAGAGTGAAGGGTACTTTGAGCYTTGGTGGGGAACAGCTTTCCTGTAAGAGGTGAGCGTGCTGCAGGTATCCAGGCTCTCTCTTCTGACAGGTTCTGAGAGCTCTGCCCCACACTTGACTCACAGAGCTCCTCAGTCCCAGCAAGACCAGGCTGCTCCTGCACCCTGCAAACCCATCACATCCCTCTGCAAGGAACTTCCCCAAAAATGGACCAATCAGCATTTGAACCCAAACTGGAGACACTCATCCCRCCTTGCTGCAGCACACTCAGAGCTTCCTAGGAGCCCAGGAGAGTTCTCTCTTCTAGGAGAGACCAAGGTCTGGAGTCTTGGCAGTGCAGCAGAGCTGAATAGTGAATAAATATTTGCTAGACAAGAACATGTGATGTTAAAAGATGCTTTACCCGSGAAAAGCAAAATGGTACAGCAGGCAGTGTCTGGAAATTAAAGCCAGAAGCTATCAAATTAGAAATAAGGCACAGATAATTRTCAGTGAGGCAGATCAACTGTATTAACCAGAGAAATGATACATTATTACTGGCACATTTGGAAACTCCCTTCACTATCATTARTGGCCTTCATGTACACCGGTGGCTCTCGAACACACATTTTGAATACAGCTGGATCAGATGCACCACAAAAGCAAAGAAATGAATGCTCATAAATTTGAACTCTTTGACCAAGGATTTTGAGTARCCTCCATGAATAAAGTCCTGCAATAATGGGAGAAATGGGGAGAAAACAATCAGAGGCTGTTCTGTGAATGTTCACATACAGGCAGTGACATGCAATGGTGTCACCCTGACAGGATGCCTTCAGTCAACCAATTCCTGGAGCCTCAGCCTGCTCGAGTTGCATGTCTGTTGTCACCTTAGAAGTTCTGATCCTGGAGAAACAGGAGAATGGGGTCTAAAAGTCATAAGGTTTAAAAATAYTTTAATGTATTTTGCTTTTATCTAAGTTTGGGGTCTTTAGGTTGCACTTAAGCCACACTTAAACCTTTAAAAAGCCCCAAAACTCGAACCAAAAAGTGAGATAATTAAGACAGGAGGAGCAAGTGAAGATGCCAGCTGCTCACCTGGCTCCAGAATCAGGAGCTAACAATATTAATACTATGGGACTTGCAATGAAGGTACAAAACACTGTAAAAGCTCTTCTCCCAGGTATTTGCCATTTCCCTTTGACATAAATCCTTAGCAGAGACCAGAAGAACAGACCAGCAGAACCTTTCTTTCCACACCAGCTTCCACACGGAGTTCTTGCATCAATTTCTGACATGTCCTAATGATCTGCCGGCTCTTGTCATGGCCACAACTGAGCAGCTGCCAGATCCCCACCGAGGTCTCAGCAGAGGAATTGCCATTCTGCCCATTTCCTTGCTGTTCACGGGAAGGAAGGATGCACCAGCTCAAGTGGGGAACTCCTCCAGGGCATCTGCTCTGCTACAAAGACTCCGTGCACACGGGAGCTGGCACTGGGTGGGTGKGGTGTGTTGCAAATGAGACTGTCGGAGCTGCAGTTTCTCCTGCACGCCTTCCAGCCACGACCTAAACTTCTGTTCATCCCTCATCAACCTATCTTTGCTGCAAACAGCAGAAGGAAGACTCCTGAATTCTGACACCGCAGTGTGTTTGCAGATAAAACAAAAACTGGCCAATGGACTCAGAGCTGGTGAAGTGTCATTTGCTGACTGAGCTGGATARCCTGCTGGGGAAATGTTGTTTGAACAGCACATGTTTCAGTGGAGCCACATGGAAGGCAAAATGGCTCATATCGAGAGACAGTGATGTATGATGTGAGACAGARGCTGTTCTGAAATGCAACGACTGGAAAACAAGACTGAATTGCAATAGTCCAGCTGGACTCAACAGCCTAAAACATTTCTGTTAAGTGAGCAGAACCCGGACCAGAGATATATGAGTGGGGAACATAGAATATAGATCAAAACCAGATTTATACACTATTGGTGACTCTACTACCACTCATTRCTGAGAACTTTGGTGTCCAAGTTTCAGAACAATATAAAACTTTTAAAAGAAGTGGAGTCAAGAGCTACAAGTGAGGTGAGCACAGAGTGCTTTACAGATTGAAAATCAATCTATTTAGTACGATTTAATGACAACTTCCAAGCACCAACAAGGAAAAAAGGTGTTTTAATAGCAGAGTTACTCAGTCTTTCAGAAATGGGCAGAACAAGATCCAACAGAAGCTGAAGCCAGCTAATTTAGAGCAAAAATAAGACAGAGATTTTTGGAAGAGCAATGATCTGCCCTTACCTTTAGGTCCTTCATTATATTAGGGCTTCTACTTCCAGGCATGAAGTAGAAAAAACGGGGTGACATTTTCCAGCCTGGACTGTGCAGAGGGACAGGCTGGGAGAGCTCTGTGTCTGTGCTTGCCTAAAGRAAAAGGCATTATTGGGGTTGCAACTCCTGACCCCTCCACACTGCCTACACCTTTGCTTGGGGAAACTGGTGAATGTGTGTGTTTGCTATGCCTTTCTCTCTACAATCTGCTTTCTTTTGGCCTTCACACTTACAGATCATTATGAGAAGAGATTTCTGAGATTTTGAGGGAGGTAGACAGGCACCAGTGGTTTCTGAATGTTTTTACAAAAATGGATTTCTGACTTACCTCTCTTTTTCTTGGAAGGAGAAAAGGAAAAATGGAAAAAAAAAAAAATTCATAAACTCAATCAGTGGCATTGTCCTAGCTGTCTGCGAGAAGACGGGCTGCAATATGTGCACTCACAAGCCCTGGGTCTTATGGCCATAGGATAAGCCTGTGCCATGAGGGAAGGAAAGGCAAATCTTCTCTAATTTTGCTGGTGGAAAGAGTATTTCAATCTGTGCACACCCCTGCTGGTGAACTGCTGCCAGCTGCCCACAGGAACATTACCTGATGCACGTTTTCCCTAGATTGGAGGCTGCTGTGTTATCAGCACGGTGACCCTGGATTGCCTCAGTGGGTCTGGGCCTGAGGGCACACTGATCACAGCAGAGTCCCTGCAGGCATAAATAATCACTCCTGGCCAAGGAACCCGGGCCAGTACAAGCTGTCCCTACCAAACCCAGCAATGCCTGGCTGGGAACTTGTGGCTTGATGTACCTTCGGGATGTGGGAAYGGCTCAGTGCAACAGCGAGCCAGCTTTGGTCCAGCAACAACATCAGGAAGACGTGGGAAAAAGGCCTTTGGCCACCTGCAAAAGGAGCTGACGGCCAACAGAGCCCAGCTAAGGGCTGCTGACCACCAGCACACTCAGTTTCTTCATCCTCATCCCTTCTTTTCCCAGCGCCTGACCCTCTTTCAGGGGCCAAGCAGGAGCGAGCGCTGTACCCGGCTGCAGGGCTGTGAGAGCTCAGGGCGCAGGGGGTGAGCAGAGATGTGCTGGTGCTGAAAGGGCTCTTGGGAACAGCTTCAGCAGAGAGGGAGCAGGATCACCCTGTATGTGACAGCTCCCAAGAGCTCAGTGGGGTGTGTGACCCTGAGATAACCCTTGCAGGAGCACTGGCTCCCAAAGATTGCTGCCACTTTTCTCTTTATAATGCTGTGCACAAGGCAGAAACCAACAAGCAGCAAAGTTTCATTGAATGAAAGTACGACCCATTCAAGGAGGGGACACCAGCTTGTCTGTCCTCRGCAGAGAAAGGTGGCGAGCCTGATGTCCCAGCATCTGTCAGTGCAAGTGTGATTCAGAAGAAATAAATGCCCTTGTTGTACAGTCAGTAACTTCAGTGAGAGGGACTCTGCAGTACAGGTGGCTCTRCTGGTGTCTCCTAGCCCTCAGCAGCCAGGATGACAAGGCTCCTCTCCCCTCCAGGTTCTTCCTAAACAATCCCCTTCTGCAGGCACTTGGGCTTGTGGAAGAGCAGCCAGGCGAACAGGAGCACGGACACCAGCACGAGGGAGCACAGCACCATCAGCCCCACGTAGCTGCCGTGGGAGAGAGGGGGCCCGGCCGGCTCCTCTGCAGGGATCATGTTGGTCAGGTTCAGCATGTAGCCCAGGGTCCAGCCTGCATCACTGCTGCCRATCTGGAACAGGACAAGAGCAGGGTCAGTGCTGGGAGGTGCTGGAGCTGCCTGCATTGCTGGGGCAGTGGCACCCCGGGCTCAAAGGGCCAGGCTGTGCAGCAGAGACTGCAAACAACTGCTGGGATAGAGCCCTCCCCACCGTGAAACACACCTTTCCAAGGAAGTGGATCATTTGCCAGTTATTTTCAGTGAACTCATAGCCATTTTCCAGCAGAGAGAGGATGTAGGCTCCAGAGAAGCAATATTCACTCAGGTACTTTTCTTTGATGTTCTGATATTCTRTTTTCACCTAGGGAAGGAGGCAGTCACCAGATTGTTAAACACACYTTCCCACTGCTCCTGCTTGTGCCTGCGCATCCACTGCACATGCTGGGGGCATCTTCCCCATCTTTMTTGCTCTGGAAATCAACCCCAGCCATTTCTCCTACAGAAAAGTCCCAGCAGCCCCTGTCTACTGCAACAAACACTGCTCACCTCTTGCCAAGGCCGGGCGCAGAAGGTCTCAATGGTGCTCGTCACTGTGCGCAGGGCAAGGGGGTTTGGCTCACTGGTCAGGTTCAAAAAGTTCATCACAAAATAGAAAGCAGAAAAAGCCTGAGGGAGAAAGATTCTTTTAATCTGACAGGGTCTCAGCATGAGCAGTACAGCATAAATACCACAAAAGAAAAAGAAAGGAAGAAAAAAAGATAAGAAAGAAAAATATAAGAAGCATCATCACACAGAAGAGCAGGAGTTTTTTCAAGAGTGATGTAATTTTAAGGCACACCCCTCAGAGCTGCTGAGAGATGGAGGGAGGAATTATGGTACCCTGAAGAACTTCTCTCCTTTACTTTTGCCAGTGGCAAACAGTGAGTGCTGATTGCCATCACAACCATGATCCCATTTTGGCAACTGAGCCAGATAARTGTGCAACCAATATCACCACAAAGAGCAGAGGTGATGGTCTGAAAGGGCTGTACAGAGCCCCATCACATAATCCAGAGTCCAGGAAACACATCTCTGACCACGGCCAGCAGCTGATCAGTAGGAGGCAGCTTGAGCACAGGGCAAGGGTGTATGAGCAGCTCCCTGGAAAGCCTCACAATCACTGAGGTCTTGSAGCTCTAGGGCTGATGGTCACATGGTGTCACACACAATGTGTGTTCAGAGTGTGCACGGTCTCCTCATCCTGTCTGGGAAGAGACAGCTGAGCTGACTGCTTTCAGCAGCACTCTGACACTCCTGGGTGAATTTCAGGTCTGGCACCACCACTGACCTCAGGACACAAGGTTTTCAGCAGCAGTGTTCCTGCCTGCAGCAGGCTCTCTGCTGCTGGACATCAGGAAGGACAGCTTAAAAATTGAGTAAATAGAGCACCCCAAGGAGATGGGTTAGAATGGGAACAGTGCAGCACTGKTAGGCCGGTGTTTACTGGGGTAACTCTTAACACGTCTGTCCTCACAGCAAGTGCAGCACTGCTTTTTGTAGTTACGTGCCTCAAAAGTCATCTTGCAAATGATTTCCTGCCTCAGTCATGAAGAATGCACTCTGGCATTACTCTGAATTTCTGCTCTTCTGACATTCTGGATTAGAGAGAGTTGAAGAATGKGAAGACTCACCCCAAAGTCCCCTTGTAATGGAGGTAGGTATATCCCATTGAAGGAGCAACTGGAGTAAGGACAATTGGTTTTGTCRAAGAGTTTCTGAATGCTTTCTCGGCACTTTTGATAGTTCCCCTCTCCCTCTATGTACAGCTCATTGAAAGGTAATTCYTTTTTCTTGTCTGATGTGCAAGGGTTTTTGAAGAAGTCACTTATATTTATAGTCCTCTGATAACCCTTGTGGAAGCACGGGTCGTGGAGGTTGCTGTTCTCCATGGTCTGAAAAGTAAAAATCAATCCAAGCTGTTACACTTTGCTCTGSACTAACACCCTGAGAAAAAGCCACGAGAAAGGGTGGCACTTGTCACAGTACATCACATCCAGGTGCACACAGAAGGTCAAAGGGATGCGGATGGCTTAAGGCACTGGCTGTGCAGAGGAGAATGTGGATACTGCCACAGCCACCTTGTAGGACCCTGGRCAAATTAGTTCAAGATGCAGTTTGTGAAGCTGCTGTTGATTTGGGTTTCTCAGAGATGATAAAATGTCACCTCCCCCTGGTACTTCAGTTAAATGCAGTTCTCTTGCTATCCCATGGCCAAGAATCARGGCATCCCAGACTGGCAGTACTTTTGAAAGTATTGACTGTCACCTCTTTGGGCACCTCATGCCCAGTCTGTATGGAAGACAATRACATTTCCCTAATCCTGACTGAGACACGACCTGGGACACAGCGACTTTTACAACACCAGTATCCCAAAGCAGGTGTAGATGTACTTGCCGTTAGGTCCTTGGCCAGTTTCTGCTGCAGAGCCTGGTCCTTGCCATAGCAGAGAAAGCTGTGTGTGTACACTTGGTAATCCTTGCCATAGAGACGGAAGTAGAGCTGGTTCTCYGGGGACTCAGAAGAGAGATCCTTTGATACAAAGGTAATCTGTGTTGAGGCTCCTCCAAGGTCTAGTGCTCCTGATGTCTCACTTAAGGATTTCAGGGAGTGTAGAAGCTTTTTCCAGCCAGACTTGGGGGGAAAAAATTAAAGTAAACCAGCTATATCAGGCATGAAGAAGATTTATTTTGGAGAAATGAAAAAGAACTATGAGAAGAGAAGCAGAAGCACAGAACACAGAAAGCATGGGAAGCCCTGGAGGGGACATGAGATGAGAGCTGGAAAAAGACACAAGAAAGATGCAAGCTTGTACATACAGAAGATAGATCATGTCCAAATACTTGCATGAGGACAAAGAATATGAAATCCAATACCATTGTTATGAGAAAAAACCAATCAACTTACTGTTTCAGCTCTCAGAATATTTCTAAGCTCAATAAGAAAGATTCATAGCCAAACTTTTCAGAAACAGAAATATTTTAGATCAGGAAGTCAGAAGGATGCTGTACCCAAKCAAAATTATTGAAGATGCTGCTGTTTTATTTCCGTGCTTGCAGCCTGACTATAGTGGTGCATCCTGATACCTCTAAGCATCAGGATATGCTCACAGCAGCTGCTTAGGCAAGATGGGCAGCTCTCTGACCCCAGGTCAATGGCTTACACAGGAAGACAGTGCCTGTGACACCTTCTTGCAAAGCATGGYTTACAAAATGCTGCCAGCCAGTGATTCCAATGTAGCTGCTATTGATACTTCACCTGCTTGAAGTTGCCCATAAGGTAGTTAATGGTGATCCATCCATAGGCTCCTTCTTCCTGCCCAGTGATGATTCTGGCACCCTGGAAGTTGAAGGGAGCTAAGCGTAGTGTCTTCTCTACTGAGGACAAGACTTTGTCGGCTGCACTTTCATTCTGCAACCTGGATGAAGGGAAGAGAGGATGGGATGACTCTGCTGACAGCTCTCAGCAGAGCTGTGAGCTGTGCTTGATTCTGAGCAGGCAGGCTGCAACTCCCCACCAAGTGTTAATTACAAGAGAATGGCCATTCATGTGGGTCATCCAGCTCTAACTGGCCATGCCCCTCTCTGTCACACTTTGACAGCACAGCTGCCACCAGCTCTGACATTTACAGACCCTACAGCGGAGAGTGGTCGGTGCTGGGAGCAGAGAACAGAGCTCTTGCTCTGTAGCATGTGTCCTCATAGGAATTGCACTGTKGAGATTCCCCTCACTGTTTACCATCACCATTAGAGAAGAAGTCCCMAAGGTATCCCCAGGAAGATTTCCCAGGTGATACATACTCAAGATCAGTTCCATGTGCCAGCCACACAAGAGGTCTGGGGCACCCTTACAAAAATCACAAGTTGTAATCAAAGGAAGATGTGATTATAAAGTTATCTTGGCCTCTGATGGACCTCTGTGGGGAGTTGCAACATGGTTGGCTCAAAAATCCTGGATTAGACCTAATACCAGCCTGTGGGATGTTTGAGCATCCCTTTGTTGTGGGGTTTGTAGTTTGGCATCACCCTGGACACCGCTGATCGGGTGTCTCTGTGCCGCATGAGGATGCACAAGATGATGGAGGGTTGGAGTGAGTGGGCAAGCAAGGGAAAAGCCCAGGGGACTGGGGGCTCAGAGAGGTCAGCAGAGGGTATCTGGGAGCTGGCAGCAYGTCCAAGGACTTGTCTGGAGAGCCTCCCATTGCCCCAGGAGCTATCCCAGGAGAAGGGGTGGAGCCCTGCCGTACCTGAGAAGCCGCATGCCAGCAGTTGCTCCGAGGTAGACGGGTGTCTCTTTGTGCTGTGCTGAGGGAATCACCTCTTTTGCTTGTTGTAGGCACTGTGCCAGAGAGGGACCTGCCTTCTCTGTGGCATGGGAGTAACCTGAGATCCCAGGGCCTGCAGGGAGTAAAGACATTTCATTGTTCACCGCCAAGCATAACCCCAGAACGCTGCCATGAGCAGGTGTATTAAACTGTATTAAACTGTATTAAACTGTATTAAACTGTATCGCAGGCAGCAGTGTCAGAGTCAATCACCCCATTCCTGAGGAGCTTTAGAAATCCTACAGCACCACCCGAACCCAATGCACAGGGTGGGTGGAACAGTGCTCAGCATCTGCCACCCTTTCTCTGCAAAGCAGGCCATGAACCAGCAATCAGGGCTGAGACAAGACATTTCTTTAGCATGCCCTGAACATCTGCAGTCTCTTTGCTGAGCCTGCCTGGATGTACTCTGGATCTGTGCCTGAAAATCCCTGACCCTGCTGTGCTGGCTCCTCTGGGGGCAGATGCTGTCATTTGTTTGTGTACTTTATAYTCACTCTACAACACTGGGTGTTCTGCAGCTATTGCCTCTTATGCTAACCCAAGGAAAAAATCATTGTCCTTGTCTGCCATGTGTCCCTGTCTGCCATGTGTCCCCTGGCTCCCTGGACTGCCCCAAAACCAGTGCCTGCGTGGCAGTGAAGCCCCATTTGCTCCAGGCTGCCGTGTGCTCAGTGTGCTGCTCATGGTGTGGGATGCTCAGCGCTGAGCAGATATCACAGCAGCCTGATAACMGTGAGGCTCTCCCCTGCTCTGCAGAGGCTGGAAAAGACCCCAGGCAGGTCTGACAACACCTCTGACCTGCTCAGGATGCAGCAATCCGTGATGGCCTGTGCTGTTTCTTGTTGTGTGCACCCCTGGGCTTCATTTATGCCTTTCTAAACCATACAGYAGCTACACAGCAATTAAAGAGAATAAAAAAATAGGTCCTGACACGCCTTAATTGAGCGACCTTGAGCCACAAGCCCAGTACATAGCTTGCACAAAAGCCTTGAAAAAGAGCAAATCATGCTCTCCCCTGTCACTGCCTTCAGCAGCACTTTAGCAAGAGTGCATGCAGATATTTTATTTATTTAAGAACATTCTTTGGTGTAGTTCTTTCCAGGAAGGTATTACATGCAAGCATCCTAAAAACAAAGGAAAAAGTGGATCTATTTTTCTCCCCTAGAAGTTCAGGGACATACAGCTCCCCATGGGAAGAAGTGAGATATACATTAAATCACAGATGTAATACTGTTTACTACTGGCCTCTTCCTCTAGATTTCTCCTCCCCCACCCCTTTTATTACATTATTTCTTCTTCATCCCATGCCCCTTCCACAGCTCCTTTTTCTCCTCTTACCTTCAACTTTACACACCTCCACCTGCCTCACCACCCCAGTGTCRTTCTCCTTCTCTGCTGGCCACTCGTACACGTAGAGGTTGGTGTGGGAYGACCCCGCATCCAGCACGATCCCATACTGTGGGCAGAACAGAGCCACTGTCACACCTCAGGCACCCAACCAGAGCTGGCGTGTCCCCTCCACACACAGGGGACCAGACACACACAGCCCATCTGCCTGGCAGCTGTGCCAGTGTGTGCCATTGCTCCTCTTGGCAGAGCAAAACTTCCATCAAAGGGTGTGGGAGCAGAGAAACTGCAAAGTTGGGACTGGTTACTTGAGCACTRATAAACCCCTAACCCCCAGCTTGTTTCCCTCTAAGGGCACCTTGTAATACCTTAATATTCTTCGGAAGTGGCTTGTTTTGGGTCACTGCTACAGCAATTAAAGCAATTACAGCCAAAGTCGAGAGGAATCCCAGGATGAGTAGAATCATTCTTGTCGAGGACATCTTTGGTTTGGTACCTGTGACTAGAGCAGGAAAAGGATGTTAATATCCCATTAGCCCATCTTGTCTCACACCCCAAAGGCATGTCTTGTGGCATGTTCCTGCTGTCCCTTTCCACCATGAAGTATCTGCCTTTGCCCATCAGCTTATGAATGGCCTGTGTTTGCACAATTGGCACAATATGGTTATAAATCACACTTTGCAGAACTTGTACCACTTCGGTTCCTTAAATGTTATGGTGTATTGGGGTAACCTATGTAACTAATTAAGATTTTTGTGGATTAACATACATGATTAGCAATAGAATTCAGAACCAATATACATATACCTGCATCTATTAGTGGTTAGCATGATGCTGTCCTTCACATTTTCCTGCTTTGGACAATCCTTCATGTATCCCATGGTGAAAACCTCATTTCACAATTTAGACTTGGCTACTTTTGCAGCTGTTTAAAAAAATAGCACTTTACTACCTGGAGCTCTATAAAGGGCATCRATACATTTTTCAGATTTGTAACTTTGATGTAAATTCAACACCTTCAACAAATAGCTCTAGGGGGACATACTTGCTGCCACTATGACATGAAATCACTTTCCACCATCAGTGATGGCTCCATACTCAAAAGCACTGACCATCTGACAGGTTTCTCTTTTCCCTACACACAAATGCTCCAGGACATGTCTAGAAACACATTTCAGGTCATTCAGGATATGGCAATACCTCAGTGCAGGCAACCACATCAACTCTTGTCACGCTCTGAGGTGACTGAACCTGCTCTGCATCTGCATGCTAAAATTTGGGTTCCAGAGGTCTCCAGACCTCCACGCCCAGATCAATGCTACAAATCCATCCTGGCACTTCATGTSATGCATCCAAATATGAAAAGCATTCAAGTTTTGTTCAGGGTAAGCCTCTAACTGCTCTGTTTTCATGTGAGAGGTGGTCCCATGTTCCATAACTATTTAGTGTTACCTGACCTTACAAATGACCCAAAATCCTCAAGTCATTTTCAGAATTCAATCTGAGTGAAAAGAAGCAATGCACCTCTGGAAATCTCTAACTRTATGAAAATAACATCTTCTTAGAGCAAATAGAACCTAGAAGTGCCAGAAGGGCTTGCTTTGAAGATGCCGCAGACAGATCCATTGGGAATGTAACACTGACCTGCAGCTCTGTGCTCTCTCTCACATGTCAGTCTGCCGAGGTTAACTGTGAAATTTGGAAGCTTGTAACTCTCACATTTGGTAAGTCCCTGTTAGAGGCTCAGCATGCTTGCCAATATCTCCAAGAATGCAGCTTAAAAAAATAGTCTAGTGCACATACCAGACAGTAGGAAGTAAGAATGTATTTTATCCAACTTTATTCAAAAAAACGCCCCAGAATTCAGGGCTTGAAGTGATTAGAAACAGCAGAGCATGACAGCTGGGAGACCTTCCTTCTTAAGGGAGAGATTAGTTGGCTCAGGTTATGATAGCACTGAGCATGTCTTTTGAACAGAAATTCTTTTAACCCTAGAAAAAAGAGTAAAAACAGATTCTAGAATATAAAATTAGAAGTCAGTGTGCTTGAAAACTGAAACTGATGCTGATGGTTGCACAGCACATCCATGTACTTATTGCCACCTTTACTCCAGGTCTTGCCTAGAGCTAGCCATGAACAAATTTGTTATGTGTTTGCTGTCTTAGGAATGAAGGACATGTGACTTTGCACAAATTCTGTGATTTTTGAATTTCCTGTTGTGATGGACATTGCCTGCCTGCTGTATCTTTTCAGCAGCCTCACTCTGAAAGTACCAGCACTGGCAGCAAAGCAGAAACATTTTTTCTCACTGTAATGGACCATCCCAATTATCAGCTAGAAATCCCTTGTCTGTAGGCAGAGGCATAATGACAATTTTCGGCATCCCACCTGCAGCCTGAAATTAGTAAATTTTTTGCMAAGGCACATTATTTTCTTAATCCTKAATATGAGTTTAGCCTGAATTTTGGTTCAGCATCATGAGCACTTTTCAGGACTCTGGGGTTTGCAGATAGCTCACTTCATTGCTGTGTCCCATACCAGACCATCCACCTATGTGACCTGTAATGCTACCAAGGAGCATTTTATTGAAAAKTTTAATAAAAGAAAAGGTACAAGTTGGCAAGCATAATCCAGAAGGTAGCGTAAAGAAGTAATAACCTTCCAAAGAGCTCTCAAAATGTACAGACTTGAACACTTGACAGACTTGTTTAAAAAAGACAGGCTTAAAATATCCAAACAAAAACCACCCACTGCAGACCCATCTAAAGAATTCAATATCATTAAAATTCACTTGCCATTTGTTCAGAAAGGTGAGGTATTTCARTAAGTTSCCTTTTCTGTACTCTTGGATCCATCTCCATCAGCTCGAGGTGTAATTGCAAGTTCTGCAGGGGCTAAAGAATTAACATATTCCAGCTTCCTCCAGCTCCTTAGAATTTCACATTCACACTGCTCARTGTCATGCAAAYACTCCWCAGTGTCCACCAAGTGGAGCAGTACTTGACTGACTGCCAGGCCCCAGGATTTTCCTTCCACTAGCAGTTTTCCCCAGCTAAAGATTAAGCAGACATGATCTTCTGTCTCTGTGCCCAGTCAGAATCCAAACAGAGACAGATCTCTACTCTTTCTCTCGTACTGCCCACTGTGTGCAGTGACAAAAATATCCCTTAGGGCCMTAGAAATGATGCTGCTTTTCTTCTGTCAGAGCTGAGAGCTGCTTGGTGCTGGAGCCTTGCCCGGCTGTACGGGCATTGAGCACTCTCCAGATGTTGGAGCACAGCTCAGCTGCTCAGGCATCTCTGTCTGTTTCCAATTTTGGTCTCTTTGCTTTTTTGTAGGGGCTGCCTACCACTGGTTCCATCCAGTGATGGTCCCAAAACATAAACAGATTTAACACCATTTCTCGCAGACAGGGAATGGGAAGGATGCTRTCAGTCACTCCAGGTAGCAGCAGTTTTGCTGTGGAAACTCTGTTGCTGGCAGTGAATAACCAGGAAGGACCACGCCAGCGTGGGAGGCAGCTCTGAGTGAAGGCAAGGAAGCAGATTTGACTCCTGTGTGTTCCAGAGCTCCAAACAARTAGGAAATGGAGTTCCCAGCCAACACTCCACTAGAGTCACTGGCACCTCTGTGTGCCAGGAGATGCCCACCCTCAATCCTTTTTGCAACAAATAAGACTTGGTAACACAAGTTAAAAGGAATCAGACAGCCAGCTGTTTTAAACATGCAATAAGGAGAGATAAAGGCTCATKTAAGGACTGACATTAGGAATGTCAAGCAGAAAAGATGTTGTGCATAGATGAAAACCATACTTGGTTTAAACAGTCTCACTGAGACCCATCATCTCTAATAAATACAAATATTTTTGTAAGCTCTGACTTAGCATAACAGATAAAGCTGATGTTTGATCTTTCCTCTGGATGTTCATGCTCAATCTGTTACAGAAAGGATCACAAGAGGACRTCCCCCTTCCACTGCACAAGAGCCACACTGACAGAGACAGTTCCTAGAATCACCTTTATCCTCTCAGCACTCCTCTGTATGGTCAGAAACGTTCCCATTTTCAACATTAATTTATTTAATGCCAGTCTATTCCCTCTGCCTGTCCCTCCACTTCTATCTCACAACTTCTGCAATGCTCAATCCTGCAGGAATTTGTTCTCTTAGTCAGTTTGTAAGAAATGATCCCTTATGGATTTTTGTCTTTTCCAGCCTTTTCTGTCTACYTGAAGAGCCCAGCATCATTCTCTGTGTATAGAATTACTTGCTTATACTTTTCTTGAGCATTCAGACCAGAGATGCAAGGASACTGATCTTGCACAATAACAAACCACAGGAGATGATACAGTCTCAACCGAAATGAAGTGAGGTGGTGACCTCAGAAACGTGATAATCTACCTTCACAGGCAGTGCAAAATCAACCCAGYGCCTCTCATGTGATCCCAGCAAACCCACACAGGAGAGAGGGGCTCTGGCAATGCTGTTGTGCACATTTCCTGACTGCAGGAGTTTGTGTCTGTGCAGTTCTCCTGGCAGTGATGGCAGGGAAAGGGCAGGGGAGCAGTCAGTGCTGCTGTTTGACATGGAGAGGGGACACACACATCACCCTCCTGGTGAGTGAAAATGAGATTCCAGGCTGAATTGCCTGAAAAACTCACTGATTACTCTGTGARGCTGCTGAGTTGCACCAGGATTTGATTACCCAAAAGGCACTCCTGTCTTCAGATTCACCACAACCAAACATCTGAGTGCATAAACACTCAGAACAGCCACACTTCTTCATTTATCAACCCTTTTGTGAAATTTTCCCTGTCCCCAACTGACTTCTTACTCATCCTTCATCTGCCTTTTTCCTTTCAACATGCTCGTATCCAAGTTACCTAGGAAGACTTTGCTGCAAAATAATGCAAACCACCTGTTTCAAGCCAGCACATTGGAAAAGTATTTTCTTAGGCTGTCAAGAGGCTCAGGTTTGTCTTAGAATTTACATACAAGCACATATGCAGGCTTTGGTTTAAGGGGCTTTAGTTCAAAGTATCAGGGCAAGACAATCAGCATGCTGAAATTAGAATTCAAGCTCCAGATCAGGATTTTATGTCACTTTTTGGAACTGTTACATGGAAGAGTGTGGGAGACTCTGCTCCAAAGACTGTGGCCTGAATAGTGGTGTGATCTCTGCCCCTCCTTGTAGTGCTATGTAGAATAATAAATACACATTTAYTGGGTTATATTTTTCCAGATAAAATACTTGTAAGTGCTGAAATACAAACATTGAAGTGTCAGTGAAAGTGATAATCCAAACAGCATAATGGGTTTTTTGGATGCTGTCTTTCAGAGACATTTGATACTAAAATCACGTCTCAAACCCCACAGACTCCTATGAATTTAGACAGTGCAGCTTGGCACCCTGAACTGTCCCATGTGCACACATAGTTGGGCATTAGTGAGCTGCAAGACAAGGAGTGTGCTTCCATCTGASATAACACCGAGCTGGGAGCAAAGCACACTGACACACAGGACTGGAATTGGAAATAAATTTGACAAATAGGGAGAGCCTGGTGGAATCCTGTAACTCACTTAAGGATGAGAGAAAATACAACAGTTAGATAAGAGCCATCACCCAAGGACAGCGTGGTGAGCAATCTGTTAAGTAACTCTTCCAGAGAAAACATTACTGCAGCTATAGCAGTTTACATTAATCTTTGCCTCCATCTAAAGCTGGTAAATCCTCYTGTGAGGTTCTGTGACCAATTTTGGACACTGCCCTTCAGGAAAGATGTRTACCACTTGGAGAAACTCCAGAAGAGAACAAGATCACAAGCCTGAAAACTTGACCTACAAGGAAAGATTGAAGGAATTGGATTTTTAAGTTTGCAAAAAAGAAGAGCAAGGGAGACTCGTTAGTTGTCTTCAGACAAATGACATTTCTTCCTGCCAGCACTATTGTAGCTAATCCTGCTCAGGATGAGGGTGACTCCTGGACTTCCTCCCAGCTCTGTTTCCTTGGTTCAGAAGGCAGGGAGTCAGCAAAAAGAAGGCAATGCTCTCATGAACTATACTGCCAGCAAAGGCCAGGGCAGTGCACAGGCTCTCCCTGTGGGATCTGCAGTTGGATAAATGTGCTCCCTCCCTTGCCCAACAAAGCTCCAGGTTTTGTTGGGACATAACTGAGCCATGGCAACCCCCCTGCTCTATGCTGTCCATGTGCACAGCAATGCTTGATTTGGGAGTCCCTCGTCCTCTTAGTGCTTTTCGTGTTGTGGCTGGGATGCAACTCTGGGAGATTGCACAAGACACATTGAAAGAGCCCTGTTTTCCTGGAAAAAAGAAAAGCACGTGGAAATCCTGGAGAGCTGGTGGGTGCTAGAGGCAGAAACGCTGAGCAATGGCAGCAAGAGACAGATACAAAGGAGCGGTCAGCACACAGGCCTCCCTTCCACAGCTGCTGGCAGCACAGAGAGGCTTTGTGCCTGGGCATCCCCATGGCCCTGCAGCACAGATTTGCTGCTGGAGAGGTGATAGCCAGGGGTTTTGAGCCCCAGTAATCCACACTGCCACACCAAGTGCCCCATTCACCCTGAGCACAAARCAGGTTCCTCTGCCAGAGACCTTCCCGGGGTGTGGTGCTGGGGATGGTGCTCCCTGGCTCTTGGCAAGGCACTCACAACCCCTGGCACCTTGTCCTCACTGCCCATGTCCCCAGCCCCACCCRGTTTTCCCACTGCCTGCTCATTAGTCTCTCTGCAGGAAGAGATTTTTCTGGCTTACATCACAGCAGTCAGACTAAGATACACAATATTCTTAAATACAACTAGTAAGTGGCAGGATGCTGCTGACAAAATGACCTTTAGGCAGTTATTTTTCACATTTATATGGTGTTTACTGGACTTYCAAGCTTGTATCCTACTTGTACTCATGCTAATTTTTTAAGGATTCTCACATCAAAGAGGTTTTACAAATCTGAAGAGARAACTGTTATCAGTTACATCAGTTTCCTGTCAGGAAAATTCTGGTATTAATTTGCTACCAGCCATCAAAGCTATATTTTTACTGGAGAAGATTTATTGCCATTACCCACAAAGCTTGAAGTTTCCTCAGAAAATAACCAGTGAGCTCAGGGGAGCTTCTCCTCTTCCCTGATACCAGCTAAATTATTGCTTGAATATACTTGACTATCACATGATGTGATGGCATTTGTTTGTTTTTCTGAGGGGAAAGGAAAGATGCATCAAACAGACACCTTTTCAGCTTGGTAATCACTGACAGTTCAAATATCCTGACTTGCAAAGGGTTCTGCCAGGCTTCCTCTTGTGCTCAAGATTCTTACATTCTTCTTTGCTCTTCTTAACTCTCTGGCCATGTTTTTTTCCTTATGCTTCTTTTGACYATGTTTTACACCTTCCAACTTTATATTTGCCCTAATTTTATCTTTCCTTCTTGCTTCTGAATATGCATCTTTAAGAGATTTTATTATATCTCAGATTAACATAATCTTCAACAGTTGGATTATGGCCTTTATGGAATAAAATAAGAAGGGAATGGGCTGCTTCTTACTAGCATTCCTAGTTCCACATTTTAAATACTCTGCTGATTCAGCTCAAGTACTTTTTATTTTCTAATGTTACTTCTTTTAAGAACTACTAGACATTGTTGACACAGAATAAGTGTGGATTGCTTTTATAATAATTCAAAACTCTCAAAACTCTTTTTCTGTTGAGACTGGCCAACATACATTTCTCTTGGGCTGAAAGTAATGCATTGCAAATTGCGAAGTGGTTACCCTCAGCTTTGAGAAATTGCCCTGTATTTCACTAAAATCCACCATCATATCAGCTTTTCTCATCCCCAAAGAGACAGCCATGCCTTTCTCTGTCTCCAGCATCCTGGTTGGTAAAATGAGCATGACCTTCGCCTGCTCTGGTCCCTCGCTCCCAGTTCAGCCCCAGGCAGCTATTGTGTACAACTATTTAATTATTTTTGCTGCTAAAGACAGCAGGACCACTGCTTATATTGGAAGATTGGTGATATGTGAGTCACATCACCAACCCACCCTTCCCTGTGTCCCACCAACCACCCACGCACAATTTATCACAAGAAAAAGAGAGGAAACAGCCTCCAGAGCAACCACCCCCCCGCTCCAACACSCACGGTGGGCCAGCAAGTTCAGAAACTTCCTGGAGAACAAAAAGTCCTGATCTTGTAAATGCTGCTACGCCCCACAGGAGGTTCTTGACAGGGAATGACCGCAGAGAAAACAGATCCAACCCCCTGCAGAACGCTCTGCACCCAGTGGTGTCAAAACACAGCCCCCAGCAGGCACCAATGTTCCTGAACACCCTCTCCACTGACAGCCTTGAAGGGGCTGAGGCCACCAACTCTCACCACACTTCAAGGATGTTTTCTCTGAGCTGTAGATTTGTGGGATCACCCTGTGTGTGGAGCAACATTACCGCTTTCAGGGGCTCACTTCCCTGCTTTCCAAAATATCACAGCCACCCAACGTGCCAGCAAACAGAGCCGCTGCCTGTGCTGCCCGAGGATTTCTGCACAGCAAAACAAACAGCTTTTCTCCTGAAGTTTCACTTCCCATTCTGGACCAAAAACCATTGGAGACTGATCTCAGACACACAAACACTGTTCCAAGCTGGTGCAGCACCAGCAGAGCCACTGGCAATGTCCCTGGGGGACGATGCCCATTCCTCAGCAGTTCTGGGTGCGAGTGCGTGAGCTGCAGTGCTCAGCTGTGTCTGGGATTTTGCTGTATCCAGCTTGTGCTATTAATTGTGTGATTTCCAGCACAGGTGTGTGAATTCTTAGAGGAGCAGATCTCCGTCCTATAAGGCACCCAGTGAGTTTTTTCGTCCCTTTACATGCACAGCATCCATTTGCAGCAGAGAACACTGTAGGCACCTTCCTTTTGCAGCTGATCCCAGCAGATGAAGCAAAGCCCTCTCTATCCAGGCAGGGCAGCAGCCCTTCTGCCTCCTTTCATCAGGCCAGGGTTAGGGCTGCATGCATAAAAAAAGATAGCACTCTGCTTAAACACTTCCCAGCTCACCTCTTTAGCCCCAGCTGTCAGCACTATGGCCATTCCTCRCTGCAGAGCACGGGACAAGGAACAGCTGGAACAGTTCCTTTCTCTGCTGAGGAGCACATCCACTGTCCAGGCCTTTTGGAAAAATATACTAATTTCTCAGAGGTCAGCTTTAATAACTAGGATTCCCACAAACCATGAGGAGAATTCAGCTCATGATATTTGTCATGAATATAATTCTCTGTTCCTCATGCTGCCACAATTTCCATTTCAAATAGCAGGAAACAAATTACCCTGYGGTATTTTTAGTGACAACCAATGGGAAGGAACATGGGATCAAAGGCTRTTGCGGGGCAGAGGTCTTGACAAAGTTCCTGAGCGTAAGAGAAGTATTTCTTCTTGKAAGTTACAGAGGTAATAAGGTAAATATGAATCTAAATTTTCATGGTCAGAAGAGCACTTTGAAAAGGCTGGAGCCTCATACCGACATGCAACAAAACAGCAGAGGAGTTTTGCTGGATGAATGGGCTGGCACAGGATGCTTGCTATTAATCTCTAAAGTTCAGAATACTTGTAAC